TGCGCTGCGCTGCTGATGTGAATATTGAGCAACGGTCCAGCTGTTGCATGTGAAGACGCTCGTCGCCGTCAGCGCCCACATGACTTGGGTATGCGCAGCGTGGTTGGCGGCTGGCGGTTGGCTGACCTCTCCATCGGACGGAACGCCGAGGAGTTGGGGCTTGCTGGGAAACCTGGGGCAAGTCACGCGTGGGAACGCGCAACCGTGGAACTCGCCGTTGGCATGTGAAGGCTAGAGCACATGTCAAGCCTAGCCACAATCGTAAATCTCGAACATCGTAGACGCAATACATTTGCTGCGCGACTTCTTCGTCTTCAACTCTTGCAACGTTCGTTCATGGTTCAGCTCCACGATGCTCGTTATGGCAAATCATCCCGCGCAGGCATCAGAGCCCGATCGGTCTTTGCTCGCACGACCGCGACAGTCAGCGGGCGATATTGCCGTCTTCGGAACTGACTCTCGCTGCAAAACCATGTCGGAGCAACATCTTACACCGACTTCCCAAGCTGCTCCGATGTCAAGGTATAAGACTTTGCATTCAAGATCAATCGTGGTCAGACTGTTCGGATTTACATTTCTCGGGGTAGCTACTGCCGATGCGACCAAATACAGCTCGGTGCATCTCGCGCGAGTCGACGCGGAGGACCGAACAAGACATCTATATACCCTCCTCAAACCAGACGCCCATCGCCTCCACCACCGCATCTTCACTCCCATACTGCTTGAGGAGCTTCTTGACGAATGTACGCTCCTCGCCATTGTTCATGTTGCGGCGGAACGTGTCTTCGCCAAAGAACACCATGCTGGGGAAGAACCTCAGATTTGACAGATCGAGGTCTTCTTTTGCCTTTCCATCCTCCCAGCTTGCAAAGGCCTTTTTGCAGCCGGTAAACTTCCTTATTTTGCCCCGTAGGGTCTTTTCCATGGCCCATCCCAGGCAGACAAAGTACTGGAGTGGTATCATTGCCGAAGCAACTTTCCAGTTGGTGATGCGCACCACGATCTTGATGTCGGGGTTTGCTTTGGCGTATTCGAAGATGGCTTGACGCCGGCGATTCTCTATCATGAATTCACCTTGGTGAATGATCGCTATCTCGATGCCGCATTTGATTTGCCTCAATCGGAGGTCTTTGTTGGTGTGCATGCGCAAGAAGATTTCGCTTTCCACCTTGATCTTGTGCATCTTGATCTCCAGCCACTTTGTCTCCGCGCGCAGCATCTTGCAAACCGCATTCAAAGGGTTTGCGGAAACCGCTTCGCGGAACTTCGAAGAGGTGACAATATAGTCATTGTCATCGAGGAACCATACAAAACCAGTTTCTGTCTCGCAAGCGAGACTTGCGATGCGGTTGCGGATCTCTGCTGGGAGCTTCAGCAGCGGGGACTGCGCGTCATTCTGTTCAATGCTATATCAATGTTAGTATTGTAGTTGAATTCATTGTAGTCATGTACTTACATCTTCTTGATCTCGCCGGGCGTATCCTCCAGGCTCAGGACTCCGTTCTCCTGCAGCTTTGGTGCCGCCATCGTAGTCGGCAAGCTCACGGTTCCGCTATCTTGTAGCTTCGGCGATGCCATTGTAGGTGGCAGAGGGTGGTATGGTGTTGAGAAAAGTGAGTATAGGATACGATGTCGGTATCTGGGTGCGACAGCAAAGTACGAAGCTGCGACAGAAGAGACAAAGTATCTTCCTGGGTGCGACAAGATACTAGGTGACTGAGGAAATACTGTGATGTCACCGCAAACGGGCGAGATGAGATTTCAAAGTGAAGGTGAAAGTGAGACGTGAGCGTCAACTCACCGCTACTGGAACTTTCCTCGATCATTGGAAAAGCTCCTCCCTCTCGCATCTTCACTCTCACGCCATCTTCTCAACCATGCCGACACTCCCAGCATCCACTCACGTATCACTGGCGCCCCTTAATCTTCCCGACTGGCCGCTCTTCCTGATCATCATCGGCGTCCTGATCATCCTTCTCTTCCAGATCCTTCTCGTCATCGCCTTTCTCCGTTGGTCCAACGTACACAGCAAAGCGCGGTGGAGGCGCCTTCGACAACGCGGCGTTGTCATCCTCGACGGACCGGCGCTCATCTGGACAAACCCGATACCACCTGGGCCAACGGTCTCGACCTTCAACCTACGGCAGACGCTTCAGACGTCGGACGAGCGAGTGACTCAGTAGGGCACTGTCGCTACGACGAGGCCCAGATAGGACATCGTCTAAACCGGCGCGGCACCATTCTCTATACAACCTCCAGCAGTCCGCTCTCCGAGCAAACAGCAGTGATCAACGATGAGTCTCTTCGAACCCAAATCGTCGCCTGTCACAGAAGTCGCGAAACAGCAGGCAACTACCTCTGCCACCATCATCATCTTCATCGTCATCTCCGCAATCGGTTCGTCGGCCGTCGTAGGGTTCGTCCTGTTCGTGGCATGGTACAGAGTAAAAAAGAAAAGGGAACAAAACCAGGCGGCTGCCGAGCTGGTGGAGCTTTCTGTCATTGAGGCCGTTCTACAGGCATCTCCGGCGCGACAGCATTAAGCGGTTGAAGCGGCGCACTGAGACACGTTGTCATATGCAGATGACACGACTCCGTCGTTGGGGCTGATGAAGATACAAAGGACGTAATAGACAAAAAGGGAAGAGAGGAAGCTGGATGGTCGGGTCGTATCTGCATTCGTCATGTGCTGATCTTCCAAGATCGAGTGTAGCAACCTAAGAAATGATACTGTAACTTGAACGGTCTACTTCCCTTCTAACGCCAGTGAGATCTTGAGCCCAAGTTAATCAAACGCGTTCGCATGAGTCGCGTAGTCTGAAAGCCGCGTCACTATACCAAGATTGTAGTAGCGGCCCGTCCTTTCTGGTAAGCTCGTGACAGCGCGATAGCGGTCAAACGTTGATACAAGCAGTAGCGCGTTCCGTGTGGCGAAGCTCGTGGGATCAGAATGAGGAAAGCGTAAGCCGGAGCGGGAATTCAGTGCGGGGTTTCTCTTCAGGGCGCTGCCTTTCTCGTACATTTAACACTACTTCCTCTTCTCTTCTGCAACTTGATCTCACTCAGCCTACTCAATCCGCCGATTATTCGAATACCCACATCGGTCAGTCAACTGCCATGTCGTCCCAGAACACATCCAACTCCTCCGGCTACGGCTCGGCTTCCTCTGGCAACACCGGCAGCGGAGGCTACACCACAACCAGCTCCGGTACCAACAGCCAAGTACGATCTTACTTTTCGTTCTTTTATACGCCTCGCTGACATTCCTTTGTAGGGAAACCACTACTGCTCCCGCGACTATGGCTCCAGCGCCTCGAACTCCAACTCTTACCACTACTCCAACACCGATGGCTCGTACTACTACAGCAATCCCAACGTACGTCAAACTTATCCAACACGGATGGACTCTTGCTAAATCACTTCCAGGGCTCGACCTACTACAACGATGGCCAGGGCGGCGCAAGGTACAACTCCGGCAAATAGACTGCGCGTAGCTTGTCTGTTGTCGCTCCAAACTTGGTACAGGTCTAATCGTGATTGGTCCGCACTGTTCCCTGAAAGTTGCGAAGGGGATATGACTAGCGTATCGTTATACCATAGACGAGATGAAATGAACGGGTGTGCCTCGCCATATCTGTTGTATGATTTCCCTTGTGATGCATTCTCATGTTTAAACAGCTTTCGTTCTCGCCCAATACTGCCGTGAGGACTCATCCCGCGTTACGAATGATATCCCTATCGATGTTTGATACCCTATCGATCCGTGATATTTATGCGGCGATGTGGTAGTCTCCTCCTTGAACGTACCGGATGCTGTGAGTTAGCAGAGTTCAGTCGTGTAGACACGTTTATAGTTAGCATGAGTGCGGAGTGAGGTGTCCCGTTAGTACCCGCGTCATCCCGAGGTCGCCCGCTGCTGGGATGAACCACACGCACGACACCCACTACACGTCTGACGTCCACAGGCAGCGCATCGCATACTTCGGGATAGGGTTCTTGCCTTCTTAGATGCGCGACCGCTGGAAAAGCTGCTTACTTGCACAGTCGTATCGTGCTGTGTGACTGCTATCTGCTTCGACATAGGCATCTTCACAACCTTCAATTCCGCAAATGAGTATCGTCTAGAAAACGGACTTATTATTATCGAACAACACGCTCATCCTTGTTGCTTGTTATTTTCGCCTGGCTGCCAAAGGACTCCCGTTCATCCAGCTCGATATCGCTATCTGTCCTTATCCACCCTTTGCTCTCAATTCGAGTGCTGACGCGTATCCTGCTTTGCAATCTACTTTTGTTGGACTGGCCGTTCGATCCCGAGGCGAAGTTACTTCGGCTGTTGGAATACTGCGTCGAGGGGAGGCGAAGAATGCCACCGACGAGGGGCTTGAGCGATGGCGCACATGCGGCTATGATTCCGACGTTCACTTGGAGGAAGCCCCAGAATTGAATGTCGTTTGTGCTGGCATACTGTTAGCAAACGTCCATACTGGCTCAAGTATAGACATAGAGACATACAACGACTGGTCGGGGTCGCCTCTCTTTGTGTTCTGCACAACGGCCTTGACGATGCCCATGGCCACCGCTCTTGACTTGGGTTAGCTTTTGTACCTCAACTCAAGTCTCTCTCTTCTCAATGCCGGGAAACTTACGTGTAGCCCAAGCTCAGAACAAAGATGAGGTACATGCGAGTTTTCTGCTTCATCTGCAACCCCATAATGATGGGGATAGGGATGGTTGCAAAGCAGATATCCGTAAACATGTTGCAGCCTGCGTACGATCTGGTCAGCCACCGAGTATAGTAAGTGTGGTGAAGGACTGATTTACTCGTGTTCATCAGCGCAAAGCCCTTGTGAATTTTCACAGGCACGCAGGTTGGCTTGAGGTCCTTATTCCAGAAGCCGGCGATAGGTTTGCACACGGCAGCCCATTCACTCCAAGATACGAGTGTGTAGAGACAGACGAATGCTGACAATGCTTAGTAGACGTAACTAATTCGCTTTTCAAAGCACCATGGGCTTACCGATAAGCGACCAGAGTATCCTGTTATATAACGTGGGAACGCCCAAACGAAGGAGTGAGAACCCGACGGACAACTTGAGGAAGGCCATACCACCAATACTGGAGACAAGAGCTTGTATGAAGGTCAACTTCAGGTACTCTTGGTGATCTGACTTCTCGAGAGTGTCGGTGTGACGACCTAAGCCATGCTGGCCAGCTAGTATGTAGGTCACCATTCCACCAAGAAAAACACAAGTCTAATCCACGCAGTTAGGGAAGCGTTCAGACTTGATTCATGATAGTTTCTCACCGCTGCCGCTAGTATGAGGGCATCGTCTTTGCCAAACGCCTTCACGACGATGAAGCGGGCGTACATGCGCATCCCAACGAAGGTCAGTGCGATGACATGGAAAGTCGCGGTAACGCCGAGGAGGTATCCTAGATTACTCTCTGCTGCACGCACCGGGTCGGTATTCTTTGGTGCCATAGTGACGGCAAAGATGAGGGTCTAGCAAAATGGAGTCGTAGGGAGGAGACATAAGTGTCATGCATCCTGTCGAAACCAAGGATATGCTGTGTTACATGCCCCCTTCCTACATTTCATGCCCAGCAGGATACGGAGCTCTCTGCAACGACTTGAAAGCACGGTAGCAGTGTTCTAGAAGGTGACATGGCCTCGTTTGTTGGTTCGTCAGCCTGCTTACCGTGAGATGTGGCATCCTTGTGTGCCAATTTCTTGGAGAATCCTTCCTTCGCTTTGCTTTTTCTTGAAACGACTGTATATTGCCCATATTGCATGGCAAAGAGACGGCATCGCCTGCATGCAGCCCGCACCTGCATCTACTTTCAGCATGCACCGGTCCCAGATGCGTTCGCACACTAAGTAATCGGGCCGAAGGGTAGGATTCCATCGCAGACGAGCCAGCCCAGCGCAACGGTTCGACGGGTCGACGGGTGGCTAATGGTCCGCTGCGCGCATGAATGGTCTCAACTTGCAGCGAAAACCGAGCTCGCTTCTGTGGTAAACAAGCCGACATGTTGGTTCTCGGGGTGGCAATACGAGAAGGATCAGTTTAGGCTGAATAGGCAAAGGCAGAGCTGTAGGCCTATGCGATCTGTTACTTGATTGCCAACGAGCTTGTTTGGTGACATTGCGTGGGATATGAAAATGTATCTGGGTCGACAGGCTTCTGGCATAAAGCGGCGCGGTCATGGGAATGAACCGGTTGTTCGTGGGGCGGCAGGTACTAGGGATCGTTTACCACTGTCAAGGGCTCTTTCCCGTCTCCGTCCCGTCTCGCATTCAGCGCAGGAAGGCGCCACTCCTACGCGACCCTTTGACGATCTCATGCCGCAGTCAGATATAGTCGTATGGTGTGGGACGGCGTCCCATTGGTCGATAGCCAACCTTTCGCCTTTGTATGCATATGTCATTTCGATCCAACACAATCCTACAGATCCCAGATCTTAGCAGTGCCAAGTTTGCTTCAGGAGCCTTTAGATCACCCAGCTAAACGGTCGACAGACGATCCTTCTGCATCGCATTGCGCGAAGTTTTCACTACCAAAAACAGTCCCCGTCGTGACAGCCGTTTACTCGCCACTCCAAGCGAACAATGGGCGACCACACACAGTACCGTGCTCTGGAAGCATGCACTCCCATCGCCCTAACATGGTATCATCTTGGCAGCATAAATTCCGCATGGTAATATCCCACGACGAGCGCTACCAGCCGTTCAGTCGCTACTCCGAGATCAAACACGTACCTAGGGAGGCCGTAGGCTAGCCTGCACCGCGTTTCCAGTACGAGCTATGGCCCCATAGCAGGACACTCTTGGGCTAGAGTACGAGGATGATGCAGGCTTTCATTAGGCGCGCCTATACTCTAAGCCGCGTTGATCAATCTATTCATCTGGACTCGCTGCAGAGCCGCTTCTTCTAATATAGGTCCTTGGAAATCGGAAGTACGCTTGCGGCGAAGGCCTTGCATGAACAAGGGTTGCCTTCGCATTGGATATAACCGTCGATTTGGATTCAGATCTTACTTCCTTAAATCGCCAGACCTTGCACATAGCGATCCCATCACCATCACTATGCGTCTGTTACAAGCTGTAACCGCCGTGCAGCTGTTGGCTGTAAGCCTTGTGGCTGCGGTCCCCTTTGACTCGCCCTCAACTCCAGTCATCGACATAGACCCTGCAGTAGACCCTCTCGAGGCTCTCGCCCAACTGCAGCAGAGCGCATACGAAACGCTTGAACAAAATGAGAGTGTTTCAAAAAGGGCCCCCAAAGGTTGTTCTTTGGCGAAGACGACCATCCGGAGGGACTGGTAAGCTTACCACGCGCATGAATTGGTGCAAGCTAACTTCGACAAGGGATCACCTGAGCAAGTCAGAGCGGAAGGCATACATCAAAGCCGTCCAATGTCTTCGAACTTTGCCAGCCAAGTCTGACAAATCGTGGGCTTCAGCAGCGAAGACGCGCTTTGACGACTATGTCGCCATCCACGTGAACCAGACCCTTGGTATTCATGGCAATGGTCTCTTCCTCACCTGGCACCGCTACTTTGTCTGGTCCTACGAGCAAGCCCTCCGAAACGAATGTGGCTACAAGGGCTATCAACCAGTCAGTACCAGACACTTCGAGTGACTGCTACATGTCTAACTTCCCTAGTACTGGAACTGGTTCGCACATACCGACAACATATACAAGTCTCCCGTCTTCGACGGAAGTGATACCAGTCTGGGTGGCGATGGCGAGTTCTTCGCGCACAACGGCAGTCTTGCCGGTGCCCGAACAATCTCCATCCCCTCTGGAAAAGGAGGCGGATGTGTCAAGAGCGGCCCTTTCAAGAAGTGAGACCGTCGCATAACTCAATCCTTACGGAAAGCTAACGAAGCACAGCACGGTGGCGAACATTGGTCCGATTTCTCCTGGTATGCAAGGCTTCCCCGATTTGGGCATCGACCCCAACGACTACAATCCTCATTGCCTGCGCCGAGACATCAGTCCTTACATTCCCAAGAAGTGGTTCACTACGGCGAACTTACTGAATGTAACCGTTGGAAGAGCTTCTCAGACGCATCGCGACTTCTGGGTCGAAATCCAAGGTCGCTACCCAGACGGCTTCCTCGGTCTACACACATCAGGCCACTACACCATGGGCGGCGACGGAACTGATCTCTACTCCTCTGTGAACGACCCCGTCTTTTGGCTCCACCACGCTATGCTTGACCGCATCTACTGGATTTGGCAGACGCTTCACCCACGTGAGGCGAATGAGGTGACCGGTACTTTGACCTTGTCGAACAAGCCTCCAACCCGCAACGCCACTATCGACGAGCCCTTGGTCTTGGGAGTCAACGGAAAGACTGTGAAGATTCGCGATGTGCTCAACACCCTTGGTGGTAGCCCTCTGTGCTATATTTACTTGTAAATAGGATCTGCTGTAATCTTAGGCTGGTGGTTATCTGGCATCCGTAGTTGTTAATACTTGAGCTCGGCTGTACATACCCGCTGAACGTCCACCCGGTCAGTGGATCAAGACTAGGCGGGTATACCCACCAATCCTCAAAAGCAAACACGCAACCTTTCTCGTATACTACCTCTCGTCCCTGCATCTAACCTTCTTCACCTACCGCATAGAGTAGGCATCGAAAGCAGGCGCCAAACGGTTATATTAAAACCTTCTCATGCCTCATCCACCATCTTCGGCAATACGTCGGAAATAACACTTTCCCATCACCATCCACTAAACTCGCGCATTGATCGCAGCACTCGATACGGCAATGACGGTGAAACAGCTTCATCCTCGCCGATATTCCTCTAAACAGTAACCATCGATTGCAGGCTCCAAAGCTTGGCCTCTTCAAAGTTACCCATTAAAGAAGTCCGTAGATTGTAGATGCGGAGGCTTGGTAATGCCAATGGAGAAAAATTGGTTTGCTTGTTTTGCTTGCCCGTGGCTCACCGACTCGCACCCGCGGAAGGGAAGGTTACGCGGGAATAAGCAAACTTTTCTCCTCTCTCGATGACGCGCCAACGACACGTCGATGTCGTCTTTTTTTGCCAACGAAGAGAAATTACTGGAAAAGGTAGGCGTGGAAAGTAGGCGTTTGGCTTGTCAGACTTGGTGTAGCTTGGTCGTTCCTTAGGAAGTGGATGCGTTTACGGTGTTGGGTAGGTGTTGAAACCAGGCGTATGAGAGCCTCATATTTTTCCGTTGGTGAGGCTGTGTAATGAGAAGTCACGTGTAATCGCTCATGTTCTGTTGATCGCCAGGCGTCTTTTCGTGCGTATGCACTTGTCGAATTATTGGCATTCTGAGTAGTCGCATCCAGGCACGATGGTAAAACGCGCAGAGTTGAGGCACACGTAACTTCTATTCCTATACCAATCCATCCGCGCCCCTTCCTTCTCGCAACGAGCTTCAGCGTCGCAAACCTCGCATCGCGTCTCTGTACTACCAATGTATCGCCATCGGCACCCTGCTTCAAATCCCTCCAAACTAAACACGCCTCCGCAAGCGTACCAACATCTCAAACACTAAAAAGCAACACCAAACATCGGTGTGTCACTTGGCCTACCCAGACAGGCAATCATGGAAAGTAGGCGTATTCCTTCGCTTCATCTTGCATGTGTTCAGATCTCGGTACAAATCTACTAGGCGGGTAGAAAAGCAACCAGCACTTGACAAGCGTGTTCCTTCATACCCAAACATCTGGTGTTTTGTCCCAGTCAGGTAACTGTCGAAAACAGGCGTATTCCTTCGCTTTATCTTGCAGATTCCTGAAAACCTAATGCAGACTACTATTTCTAGAAAAGAACTGTCCGTCGGGTCAGGGTTAGGGCGAGTTCTGGAAGGAGCGGTGGGTTGATGGTTTTGGTAGTACATGTTACGTTTTGCGTGAACGTAGAGATTACCACATGTATTGCAAGCTTGCAGTCATTTGATGAACGGATTTCGAATCGAGATGTTGTGCGAACGTGGCACTATGGATCAGAGGCAATGTTCTCTATAATCATACTCATCATATCCAAACGCCTACAAGGTTTCGACAGAATTTCTATCATCGCGTCTCTCGGCTCATGACCTGTGTGTCCCATGAAGTAACTCAAAACGCATTGTCTGAAGATGAAATTATCGTTTCATCTTTCAGTTTCGTACAGCATCCACCACGTCATGTTGTTCAGTTGATGGATGTTGTACCAAACTGAAAGGAAACTGATCAGGTCCAAGCTACTCAGTAAAAGCTCGGTGATGAACAGCAGTACACGTTCTCCTTACACCATCCGCCTAATCTCCACTCCATCAGATACCCAAATCAGTAACCATCGAAAGCAGCGCTATCGCTCGTCTCGAAACTTCCAAGCGTCCTTCAACGTCCCATCCGCAAGTAGTAAGCCGAAGGCGAAAAGCCCCCCTCAACCATCATCACCAACACGCAACAACCCCCCAAACCCGTAGGTATGACGAGCAGCACAACTC